ACAACCGAAGCGGAATATGTAGCCGCCGGCAGTTGTTGTGCTCAAATCCTTTGGATGAAGCAACAACTCGTGGACTATGGCCTTAGTATCAATCACGTCCCTCTTCGTTGTGATAATACTAGCGCCATAAGCTTGACGAAGAACCCCGTTCTTCACTCAAGGACGAAACACATTGACATTAGGCATCATTTCATTAGAGATCATGTTCTCAAAGGTGATGTCGAAATTGAGTTCGTTGAAACACACAACCAATTAGCCGACATTTTCACAAAACCTTTAGAGAAAGAGTCGTTCTTCCGCATTCGAAGTGAACTCGGAATCCTTGACTCCACGATGATCTAAGTTGTGCATCTAAATTTACTAAACATCTACTAACTTGAGCGTCGGAGAACTTTTTCTTTTTTGCAGGTACCCCGTCCATAAAATCAGGGGGAACCATGCAAACAGCGCTGTCCAGGAGACACAACAGCGCTGTTTAGGGAAACACCGTCAACCAGAAAGTTCTCCAACAGCGCTGTCTATCTAGACCAACAGCGCTGTCCCAGGGAGTACCTTACACTTTTACTTCCAGAAACTTTTTCAACAGCGATGTCGTTTAGAGCAACAGCGCTGTCCAAATTTTACAAATTTTTTTTATCGTAAAACAGCGATGTAGAGAAACCCAACAGCGCTGTTCAAATGGGTTCAAACCCTTTCACCATTCCAGAAACTTTTGAAACATCGCTGTAGGGCACTCAACATCGCTGTCGGTTTTACTCTTGTTTTTTTAAAAAAACTTGACGCAGAACAGCGCTGTACAAGGAACAACAGCGCTGTCCCAACAGCGATGTCGCCTGTAGAACATCGCTGTTCTGGTCAAATTTTTCAAAAAAAAATATCCATTGCACCTGCTTTAATTGCTCCAACAACTCTTTTTTTCAAATTCATGAACGTTGGCCACCCTCTCTCCTATATATTTGGACCCCCTCTTCTCATTTTTACACACACAAACACAAACTTCTTCAATCTCCTTGCATATTTTATCCTCTCTAACATTCTTTTTGAGATTTCTTCATCACCATGGCCAAAGATAAGAACAGGGCAGGAGCTTCCGGAGAATCCAAGGCAAAATCCCGGGCACCGGTAACCAATCCCGAGGATCGCATCGACTACGGGTTGTGGCTCCCCCACGAATCATCCCGGAGCGCTACCCGGAGCTGCAAGGCTACGACGACCTTGACGTACAGCTTCATCAAGCCGGCCTTTGGCCGTTCGTCTCCCGGGCACGCAAGGAGATCAACCCGGCACTGATTCGGGCCTTCTACTCCAACCTCCGCCGTGAGGACGACGTGCTCTACTCGCTCGTCAAGAGCACGCCGATCGAGCTCACCGTGGAGCGGCTTGGACGCATCGCCGGCCTTCCCTTCCAAGGCGACGATGTGTCACACTATGGTGGAGAGGATTGGGTGCTCAACAACGAGGGCCTTATCCTCAACAAGCTTGGCATCATCGAGCTCAAACGCCATGCCTCAGGCCGCCCAACCATCCACTCCGCCAAACCCGAAGGCCGCCTAGTCCTCTACATCGTCACCCGAATCCTCAAACCCAGGAAGCACGGCCACACCATCATGCACGGTGAAGACCTCAAACTTATGCACGCAATCATGCACTCGGCCCCAATCAATTGGGCAAAGTTCGTCATGATCAACATGACGATTGCTGCGTCCACCGAGCACGACCACCTCCTCCCGTACCCGTTCTTGGTGATGGACATCCTTGAACGGTTCAGGCTAACCACCACCATTGGCCCGCTCATGAAGGCCACGA